CCTCATTGCTCCTAGTAAGTAGATGGGAATGAATTCTGCACAGAGATGGGCACCATACTCATGTGTGAGGGCTTTGTGGATTTGTTTGCTTTGGTCAGGGGCATCACTCACAACAAAGGCACCTGTTGCTTTTTTGTTCTGAAAGATAAAAAATGCAGAGTGCAACAAGTGCTTAACTTGTAGCGTAAGACCACAAGGCTGTCAGAATGCCTGTGTTAGAGCAGAGCTTCTCCCTGCACCTAGGGAAAAATGTTTGTGGTCATGACATCTGTGAAGCAAATGAAAGGGATGGAAGCCAGAATCTGTGTCTCTGAGGTGCTGCTGCTGGTCCAGAATATGGAGTCCTGCATCAGGTTTCCTGGTGTGCTCCTAACTTCTGCCAGGAGCTACTCTCCCTCACTGCACTGCTGGGTTTCTCAATCAACCCCAAAGGTGCACGGGGTGAGTGAGGGCCGCACAGTTACCCCGAGCCACTTGGCACTGGCTCTTACAGGATCAGGGTTGAGGCCACGTGCTCTCTTCTCTCCATACCCAGGGCTCTCAAGCTCCCCACCCACTCAATACCCAAGGGTGAAACCACCGCCTGGTACTAGTGGCTGCATTTTTGTTGCTCTTCTCATCTTTTCACATACTCAGCACAGTAGCCCATCAATGTGTACCTCCAGAGGTGACACCCCAACTTCAGAATGCACATTCTAGATCTGATGGAACCACGAATCTGGCATTTTCCTTACTAATCGGCACTTTAAGTTTTGCAGGAGGCCTTGTGGAACTGACAGCTAATTCTTAGCCTTCTACAGAATTGGATTTCTCCTGAGAACACCAGAGTTACTTTGGGTTATTGCATCACCTTGTGGTCATGACAGGAACTGCACCTTCTCAAAGCCCCAGTCACATTCTGTACAAGTTGGAGGCTCCCTGAAACCAGAAGGAAAAGCCCGATAGAATGAGCCCTCACAAAGCTGTCCAGCTGACTTGGAGCCAGGACAGCCTGGTGCCTCTCTCACACTTTCATTGCTGTGGCTGAGGAACGGATGTCCCATGCAGGGAAAGGCCATGTAGTGTTTGTCTAGTGGTGTCTGGCCATACTGCCCATATGTCATTCTCCTCTGTGGGCTGTGTGGGATCAGTGGATTCTCCAGCTCATTGTGCCTCAAGCACATCCTCTTTATTATGCCTGCTAAGCTCACTGTACTTCTGCCTCAGTATAAGCAGCATAACCTTGGGCAATACACACAATTCAATGAGCTGCCTCTGCAAAACGGGAATGAGGTTGTATCGGAGACTTGGAGTATGATTCTAGGAAATGCTGCAGTTAACTTCGACTATACATGCAAATATAGTGATTATCAGAAAATACGTCTCATTAAGAGATAATACTTGTCTATGCAATGCAACTCACACTTCAAACTACTTTACATAAATGGATCCACAAGAGTTAGCAGTGAGTGCTGCTTCTGCTGTGTTTGTAGCTCATGCGAGGTACGTTAAAACAGTTCCACGTTCCATTACATGGGATCACATTTAACAACTTCACAACTGTCCTTCAAGAGGTGTGGCAGACACACTAGCAGTCTTACAAGCAGGCAAGGTGATGGCTGGAGACACAAAGTGGCTTTCCTAGGTTCTTGGAGCAGTAGTGCCAAGGCTGGAATGTGGCTCATTTGACTTGGGCACAGCACCTGGATTTTGCACCATGCATCACAATATCGCTTGTTAATATAGACCAGGTGCTTCCAAACTTTGTGAAAGACAGGCCATAATAAGCAATGTGCTCTTCAGCATACACTTACATGTAAGTACACAGCTGAGAACCTGAGAGGATGATGCCAACCGTGCATCCAGCATATTCTCTCCTGTCTTGTTAAAGAGTGTTGCTCATCTTCATTAGATTGACTCACAGTCTACTTGTCAATCAAAACTCCTGTGTTGGGAGAATCTTGTCCAGAAATTTCTCAAATAACTCCACTGGATATGTGACCAATGCAAAGACTGGGGTTCAAGTGGACACTAAGAGTCTAAGAGAATAGGTAGGGAAATAAGATGAACTTAGGAAGCTCCATGAGCAAGAATGGATGTGCTCAAGCAAAGTAAGTATTTCTTCAGTTTGATAACCTGGACACTTGGCAGTCAGTCCTTATTCCCAGTAACTATATATTTGAACTTAGCAGGGGGACAGGTTGCTGAAGCACAGAGCATGACTCGTCATCCTCAATATGTTTTCTGGTCGTACACAGATAAGCTATTTCCATTGTCTCAGATGGCACTGCTGAGCTTGGTTATCAATGCACACACCTGGAGTTCCCATCCTATGGGCAAATTCTGAGATTTCTTTGGTGTCCAAGAGGTATATTTCTTGGAGCCCATTCCCTGAATGCATGGAAGGCATGTCACCATTTTGTTGATGATGGAACAGCTTTTTTAAAATTTTTTTTTTTTCAGACAGGGTTTCTCTGTGTATTCCCTGACTATCCTAGAACTAGCTCTGTAGACCAGGCTGGCCTTGAACTCACACAGATCCGACTGCCTCTGCCTTCCAAGTGCTGGGTTTAAAGGTATGCACCACCGCTGCTGGCAAGAACAGCCCATTTTTGTAGAAGCCATTTTGCCTAGCCATTCAGAAAGGGTATGAGAGACTGTGACAGATAAAGTGGCATTGCAAAAAGTTAAATTAATTCTGTAGAGACCTTTTGAAACATGCTTTGAAGCAGAAAAGAACTGAATGACAGTGCTTGCATCCTGCAACAACATTTGAAGACAGCTTTTGTCTCTCAAAACCAGTCTAGCCTTTTCACACATCAGCCTCTGCCCACCCGGCTCATAACCTTTGAGTGAAGCAGCTGTCCCTGCATCCAGGAGGTTCAGAATTTTGCCTGATGGTGCTCAATAAATACCAGTTCACCAAGTAAACAAGAAGATGGATAGCAGTGGACCTGTTTTCTTGCTATTTTTTATTACTTAAAGTCACTTTGAGAACAAGAGGCCATGTCAGTAAAACATCAGTGACTATCAGTTCCCTCATCACAGGGGAAGACTGAGCCTGGAGGAAGAAAACACCAAGAAAGAATAAGCATAATTCTAAATGACCCATTCATGTCTACCATCTAGTGTTTTGTGAAGGAAGCCTGTGCCCTTTAAATAAGTGTTACTTATTTGCACTTGGATGGGTGTGAGCATGCCATGGTGGAGGTCAGAGGGCAACCTGGGTGTCAGCCCTTGCCCCTCCCCTGCATCGTGTTTGAGACATCAGGGTCTTTTGTTTACTGCTGTCTATGCCAAAATAGCTGGTCTGTGAGGTTTTGGAGGTTCTCCTGTCTCCATTTCCCCTCTTGCTGTCAGAGCACTGGGATTATGGATGTACACGGCTGTGTCCATCTTCACATTAGTCCTGAAGACCTGAGCTCTGATCCACATGCTTGGACAGCAAACACTTTACCCACTTTGTAATGAGGCTTTCCCCCTTTCCCATCAATGACTCAACTGTTTGCTAATTTTGCTGAAGTGTGTAGACGGTCTACCTGAGCCAGACTGACACAGCCTAACCATGAGGTAAGAACATGACTTTGGTTCTATACCACATTATAAATGTATTTGTGACAGGTCTTCATTAATACTTTGAAAGCACTGGAGGGAGTCTTTTCTCTAAGATGTTGTCACCACACTGTCCACACTGATGAATCAGGGCTGCTTGCTCAGATACCCTGGGAATGGCAGGCTAAACAAGAGTTCAGCTCCAGGCAGCTGTCAATCATGTCTGCAGCTACCCATGGATTCAAGTACTAGCTCTCCTTGACTCATCAAGTGAGTCCCAGGGTCTTGTGGAATGACCTTGCATCTTGAGGACACTTGCTCCAGGAAAGACAGGATGCGTCAGAAGGGCCCTCTTCTCTGAGGAAAGATGGTCCTATTTCTTGGGGCACACCCAGCGAGTACTATCGTGCTACTCAACACTGCACCCTTTGAGTGATGCTGAGGGAGGAAGAGAGGGTATTGGACCATTGCCTCTTCTTTGCTTTCCTCTCTGAACACATTCAGGGGAAGATGAGGTTGCAATTAGCCTTCAAGGCCTCCATTTGTTTTGTCACCTGTATGACAAATTTATCTGTATGACAGAATGATGACACCTGTATACAATTTTAAAACCAGCATATAATGTCATGGTTCCACATAATTTTCAAACAATGCTAAAATGTTCTCTAGGTTTTAGTAGCAGTGTTGCTGTATCTATGAAATAAACACTACTTCCATAAAGCAGACGGTGAAGGGTCACCGAGAAGGGCTCAGTGGGTAAAAGGCACTGGCTACCAAATCTGAGTTCAATCCCCAGAACTCACATGGCAGAAGGGGAGAACCAACTTCCTCAAGTTTCGGTCTAACCTCTACATGCACACTCAAACACACACGACATAAGCAAATAAATGCTAAAAAAAATTCCCAACCCTGAAAATGATGATGATAAAGATTCCTAAGGAGAATTTAAAGACTATGAGTTTGGATGGTGGTTCTGGTGGATTCCGGGCCCAATTAATAAAAATGTCCCAGAACCTCAATTTCTATATAGCACCACTGTGAGGACCAAAGAGCTGTAGAGTCAGTTACATTTTTGTTCAGTAAACATAATGATCAGAATGGAAGCATACACATTTATGTGTCAACTTTTATGGATTTAGTTATGTAAAAATGAACAAACCCTTTTGGGCTGACTGAAGCAGGAAAAAAGAAAAAAATACTGACTATAGTTTAAGGGCATTTAGCCACAGGTGGTCTCAGTCCAACACTTCAGCTTCCAACAAGGTAAGGCTGTTTGACAATGTATTCCACAGGATGGAACATGAATATGGATTCCAGTCATTTTTTGTCTTTAGTCAGGGAGACGGCAATGTCAGAGACCATTAAGACAGAACATGGAATGGGGGTGGGGTAGGGTTGGGGTGGGCTGCTCATTCTCATGAGTGATTAAGCACTGGTACCGTGGGTGCAGAACACGGTGCACAACCCACCTTTCTCTTCCTGGGAATGGGCTCGTCGAAGAGCAGGTTGCTGGCTTCTGCCTCGTCGATGCCATCATCAGGTGCTGCAGGGCTCCGGAAGGGCTTGAAGCTGTCAGCGGACAATGGCGGTGAAGGTGTGGACGGGTTGGACTGGTCGCTGGGAGCACTCCAGCTCCAGTAGCCACTGCTGCTACTGCTGGATGGTGCACCCTCCTTCCAGGACCCGCTGAGACCCTCTGTGAGCACAGGGGACAGCAAGTGAGGGCCTCTGGGGAAGGAGTCTGGGTTCTGTTCTCACCCATGTTGCAAGCAGTAACCCACAATCACCCACCCAAGTCACATGGCAGTTTCTAAGCAGTTGCTTTAACTACAACGCAACAAGGCTGTCTGGGCTCTCTGATGTGTGTGTTTTATTGCACAGCACTCCTGCCTCAGGGTTGGTGGCAATTAAATGGAAACAAGAAAATAATGGTTATTTCTTGTTCACCAACTGTGGGGCCTCTGGGTTTGCCAGCTGCAGTGCTTCTGTGTGTGAAACTGCCTGCGGTATCCCCCTGGCCACCAAGCTGCCTGCCCCGGTTCCAATTCTCCCTTTTTACAAAAAAGGCATTACTCATGTGACTATGGATCTTGGGGTGTATGCCTAAGAAATTAGATTAAGATTTAAGACTCTTTCAGAAATGGTAATCTTTAGATAGATATCTAAAGCAACTTCCTACTGCTGATTAAAACAAATAATGTCTAACATTCTGACTGATCTTATATTCTTAAACTTAATTTTCAAAGTTAGTGTATAAAATAAAGGGTTTCATAATGGCATTTCCATACATCTGTGTCATTCATTATACCTCGTTCTAATTCTTCCCCTTCCTTCTGGCCTCTCCTGCGTTCACACTGTGGGTTCCAGTTCCGCCTACTTAATGGCGCTCATCTGTAGTTTTAAGCATGGTTACATCTGTCACTCAAAGTAAAGAGTACCCCCATTTGACAGTGGCACAGGAAGTTCATTTACTTGCTCTCTCACTAGTAAGTGACCCCTGACAGCTGAGGCCAGGACCTGGGCCTCTAGTGGCCCTTGGTCCTCCAGAGCGTGCAGGCCCTCTGCTGTGGGTATCCTCTATCTCTGTGGTTGAATTGGATCACATCAGAATTTACTGGCCATACCTACTGATGGATTGGTGCTCAATTCAACTGTAGTAAGTCTGATGAAGAGATTTCTTCCTACAGTGTCCGAGAGGGGAGCTTTTAGTCACTATAGAATTTACTCTTATCTTCCAAGATTCCCAACTCAACTAGCATTTATATAAATTCTACTTTCTTTCTAGATAATCCTCTTCCATATTTATGTGCATTGTGAATATATTAAAGCTCTAATTATAAGGGGGGTAGTAAATCCCAAAATTCTTCTTTTAAAAAATACTATTAATGTCTTTGTAATTACTAATGAAGCAAAGATTATTAGTAGATAAATATTCATAGAGAAATCACTACCCTTACCTAGTTATAGATTTCCAGCAAATTCCTCAAATACATCACACAAAAAGTTTAGTAAAAGTCATCAAGTTTTAAACCGATGTAGAAGTTGCTCATTTTATGAAGGTAAGACTCTGGTAGAATTAAGTGGTCTATTTTGCATGCATGCACCTTACTGAGCATCACAAAGCCAGTTTAGTATTTCCTCCCCTGCACTGCTGAGAGATGGATGCTCTCAGCAGACTGCGGTGACCTCCTATGACAAGAGAGCTTATGCAGCAGCAGAGCAATCCTCCAGCGGCACTTCCTCACATACTCTACCATAGACTGATATACCAAAATCAAGTTTACAGTGCTCATGTGTGTCACAGTACGTCTGAAGAACTGAAATGCTTCTGAGAACTAGCTACTGTCAACGGTGTGTTTGCTTACCAGTTTGCTAATACTCTTTCACTCTTTAGCCAGGGAGTCTAGCTAATACAGAGACAGCCTTTCAGGAACATGAGGATGGAGTCATCAAGTTTCCTGGGCTACAGCATTTCCTTATCTTAAGCCAGTACCAGCCAAATATGCAGCTGGGCCCAGCTGGGCTCTTCTTGCAAAGCTGCCTCCCAACAGAGAGATGCTTTTCAGTCACAGAAAAGAATCACAACAGGTTCTCCAAACTCACTGATACAGCATAATTTCTGGAGAACTATGGCTTTATTCCCCTATAAACTAATGGCTTCATTATTATAAATTGCTTCCCTTACTTAAAAATTTGCTTCATTTTGCAAAATACACCAGACATCAAATTCAGTAGCTTTTAAAAATTTATTTTATTTGTTTATCTGTTTATTTATTTTGAGGCAAGGTTTCTCTGTACCTCTGTGGGCCACACTGGACTCATTAATTCACAGAGATCCATCTGCTTTTGCCTCTTTGGTGCCGAGATAAAGGCATTTGCCACAACACCTTGCTAAGTAGTTTTTTTTTTTTTTAAACCACAAATGAACATTGACATAATCTATTGCTGTGCTAACAGAAGTGTGTATTGAAATATGAAAAGGTTTATTTTAATTTTAACCTTTAAATACAAAGGAACAGTAGAAATGATCTCAATTAAAAAAAGAATCATATAGTAAAAATGATTAATATAAAAACATCCCTTTCCCCCCCCATAATCTGGGTATCCACTTGCCAAGAGGCTCCCAAAAGCTAGGCCACCAAACAAGAATGGTCACTTCATCTCAATGCATGTGCTTATGTGTCTATATAAGTTCATCTATGTATACATCTATATTTAAAAACACATACATACACACATACACATATGTATGCAGCCTGGTATCCTAGTCCTAACTTTGCACTGTCTGGGTGGATTACTTTAGCAGCTCTTTCACAGTCTCAGAAGAAGGACTTGTAGCCAGGCCTACATGACCTATCACAACAAAGCTCCTACTATCCTCTGTCCAAATTCACCTCCCAGTGTCTGCTTTCCCAATTTATCATAAAGATTAAATGGAGCAATATCACACCACATTAGGAAGGCAGATCTGGAATCAGGAAAACAGGAACTAGAAATGTAGTTCTACCATTTGTATGTCAATTAATGCACACATGCCTTGGTTTACTTACCTGTAAAATGGGGATAATAGTATCTCATACATTTGTTGGTAGAAATACAACGAGATAAAGTAAGCAGAATAGTTAAGTCACTGCTCAGCAAATATGCTAGCTATTAATGAGGCAATGGCTGACAGGCTTTCCCCCCCCCCCCTGAAAGAGACTGTGTACTCTCTCTGAGTATGGACAATATTTATATTCTGGAGATACATTCAAATCATCTAGGTGGTTTCTGATATATACTGAAGTTGTGAATAGAGTAAATAATTCCCTTTGGTAACAAAGTATGGGATAATGTTTTTACAAACTACTGGCTCTTCAGTGAGTTTACCGATCTAGCTACCTCTCGATAAAGAGGAAATTATGCTGGGAAAACAAGTTCATCAGACTACTCTCTATTTGCCTGGGGAAAAGGAACATAAGTGCTGAACAGATGTATTCTGGGAAGGTAGCAAACAAGTGACAGAACTCAGTATATGTGAGCTGCCTAGGTGAGTTCATGAGAATGTTGGGGTCTGAGGAAGAGGAGGAGGAGAAAGGGGAGGAAGCTGATGATGGCCCCCAGGGTCTCTGTTCCCCTGATTCTAAACTACTTTTCCCTCTGGAGGAAGGGGATCCCTAGGAGAGGCCTTACTCTTGGTGCTAATGGGCACTTTCCCAAAGACCATACCCTAGGCTTACCATTAGGTCGCACAGGAGGGCTTCGGACCAGAGGGCTAGTTGACAAGCTGGTTAGTACCATTGCTGCAGTCACCTTGTCCATGTCCAGTTCCTCTGAAGATTTCCTGTAAAACAGGAAGAAGTTATGTCTGTCTGTGCTTACTCTATCCATGGCCAAGCAAGGTATTACAGGCTGCCACATTGACTTTCCCATGTGTCCTCAGGAAAACCCAACATTCTGCTAGCTATTTTATACTCAAGAGACCAAGTGACCCAATCAAAGCCATATATACCAGGAAGAAAGGGGTACCTTCCATGTTCGTCCAACAACTATTACTGAGTGTGTGACAATAAGCCAGGCAGATACTGCTGCAGGCACTGGTGATGCATAATAAAAAACAAACAAATCAATAGGAATAAAAGAATCCCTGATAGTGCCAAGTGCTATGAAGTGTATTAGCAGTGGACATAACAGTGCCTAAGCGTCTCTGAGAAGGGACTTCTGAGGTGATGTTTAGTTGAGGAGGACTCAGTGCTGGGGGTAGAGAGAAGTAGGTCTCTTCGGCAGTGGC